AGAGGGATCGCAGTTCCCTTGTTTTGTGAGCAGGGTTGTTAAGATTCCTGATTGCTCGCAGGATGTAATTTGGACATTCCCAGTCCACACAGACCCTATGGTTAAAATGATTAGGAATGAGTGGGAATTCAAGCTGAGTGTCAACCTAGTGGGCCAAAGTTCATTATGTACCATAAGCCGAGAAAGGCAACAATAAAAGGATTTGCTAGAGAAAGAGTTTAACATTAAAGGAAAAACCTTCAGGATGCATTCTTGGGCTTATTCAGAGCAAGTGTCATTGGATTACAATGTCTCCATTTCATGAATGTAGCAGAAGGCTTCCACACTCTGCAGACGCTCAGCAAACACAAATGCCTTTTAATGAACAGTTCAAAGGGTAAACACAGTACAGCTAAAGCACTTCCTTTAGTGTCATCTATTCATAGTTCTTTGGATTTTGGAGGGGCCTCTGACCAAACAATACTTTCTGGTATTTAAGAGGAATAATTTATGTTTCCAGTCAGAAAACCAATCCACATCAGCTCTTCGTTTTCAAATACGACTGATTCAGCTCAAGGAAAGTATGATCACAAAATGTTTTGATATGTAGAGGTCAGCCGGCATCTGAAGACCAAAGACAGATGCTCGTGTTTCAGCATATAAATTCTGATTAAAGGTACTGACCCAAAACACAACAATCTGCCCTTATTTTTTACAGATGCTGACTGACATATTGAGCATTTCCAGCATTTTCTGTTTTTAATTTCAGAGTTCCAACACTTGCAAATTTTTTTCTCTTTTATTTTATAACCATATAATACAGAAATAGATTCAAATATGAAATACTCCAGTGCTTGATTGGAAACATTTTCAGTACGTTAGTGGTTACCCATGTTTCAACTTAATCAACAACCACGACTTGCGTTTGTCTGGTGCCTGAATTTGGGGGGAAAAAAATCTTTGTCTGATACTCTAAGACGCCAAAAACGGTTGCAGAACCAAAGATGATGTTAGGTGAAGGAACTAAAACTGCAGACAAAGAATTGGGTCTTAAAGAGGATTTTAGAAAGGAGGAGAGGGAGGCCAACAAAGTTAGGAAGGGAATTACAGTGTGCTAGACCCAGCATTCAAGTCTCAGTTTTATCATTGCTGGAAAAGCTCAGCAGGTCTGACAGCATCTGTGAAGAGAAATCAGAGTTAATGTTTTGGGTCTGGTGGCCCTTCCTCAGAACTGATGGTAGCTAGGAAAATGTCACGTTTTTATTCAGAAGATAGGGTGGGGGGAAGGGCTAAGGACTAAACGATAGGTGGGGATAGAGCCCAGACAGGCTGTTACACAACCCATGGAAGCCTCTCTGCTCCTATGATGCTGCTTGGCCTGCTGTGTTCATCCAGCCCTGCACCTTGTTGTCTCGGATTCTCCAGCATCTGCAGTTCCTACTATCTCTGTTACACAACCCGTTGTTAGTTACTAACAGTCGCCATTAATAGATATTCATTCCCCTAGCCAGGTCGTTATCCACTCCTTTATCTGTCCAACTGTTCTTCTCTCTCTTTGAGCTCTATCCCCATCTATCGTTTACTCCTTATCTCCTCCCCCCGCCCAATCTTTTGCATTAAAAAAGTGACATTTTCCTAGCTACCAGTTCTGAGAAAGGGTCACCAGACCGGAAACGTTAACTCTGATTTCTCTTCACAGGTGCTGACAGACCTGCTGAGCTTTTCCAGCAATTTATTTTTGTTTTTCCTTGCTCTTTGGGCTCTATCTCCACCTGCTATTTACTCATTACAACCCTGCACTCCCCACACTGTATCTTCTGCATAAACGTCAACCTCTTTCCACCTATGGTCACTTCTGAGGAAGGGTCGCCGGTCCCAAAATGTTAACTCTGATTTCTCTTCATAGATGTTGCCAGGCCTGCTGAGCTTTTGTAGCAATTTCTGCTTTACAGCATTTGCAGTTCTTTTGGTTTTCAATTTTATTTTCACAAGGACAGGAATGATATGTTACAAACGCAGGTTATACAGGCATAGAGACGTACAGCAGAGAAACAGACCCTTCGGTCCAACTCGTCCATGCTGACCAGATACCTAAATTAATCTAGTTCCATTTGGCCCATGTCCCTCTAAACCCTTCCTATTCATATACCCATCCAGATGCCTTTTAAATGTTGTAATTGTACCAGCCTCCACCACTTCCTCTGGCAGCTCATTCCATACAAGCACCACCCTCTGTGTGAACAAGTTGCCACTTGGGTCACTTTTAAACCTTTCCCCTCTCACCTTAAACCTATGCCCTCCAGTTTTGAAACCCACCTATCCTGGGAAAAACACCTTGACTATTCACCCTATCTATGCACGGTGGCTCAGTGGTTAGCACTGCTGCCTTATAGCACAAGGGACCCAGGTTCAACTCTACCCTTGGGCGACTGTCTGTGTAGAGTTTGTACGTCTGTGTGGGTTTACACTGGGTGCTCTGGTTTCCTCCCACAGTCCAAAGATGTGCAGGCTAGGTGGTTTGGCTACGCTAAATTGCCAATAGTGTTCAGCGATGTGTAGATTAGCTGTGTTAACCATGGGAAATGCAGGGTTACAGGGAGGGTTAGGGAGTCACACCCACCCTGGTCTAGGTGGGATGCTCTTCGGAGGGTTGGTGTGGACCTGTTGGGCCGAATGG